TTTAAACTAACTGCCACAAGAGATGATTACATTCATGCATTCATTGCGTGGTTTGATATTGTTTTCTCAGCGTGTCACAAACCTATCAGATTTAGTACAGGTTTGTCTATTTCATTGATTTTATTTACGTAACGCTGAACAAAAATTTTCTCACGAAATCTCGTCTCAAGGTCCACACGCGAAGTACACGCATTGGAAGCAAACTGTATTTTATACGTCTGATGCTGTCACTATCAAAGGTGGTGAGGCTATCGAGGGCACATTATCGTGTGCGCCGAATAAAAAGAATAACCGTGATCTGGACATTGAAATACATTATGATTTTCATGGTGAAGCGAATTCCTGTTCGGAAACCTGCAAATTTAAAATGTGAGTGTTCTTATTGACTTGCCACTGACTGTCTTTATATTCAATTATATTCAATTGCTTTACTTCATCTATTTGCTCGGCCAATTAATTCCCAGGAATTAGGTATTAATTTTATTGTGATTGATTTGTAAGGACATTTATGGAGCGAATAAAGTTTACGACAAGAAGGGCGATGTTTTTGATTTAGCGTGTCATGTGTTGAATTTTGTACTCCTAATTTCGCATTCCTTGTGGTTAATTATGTTTCTACCTTTTAATCACATGAATGATCCTGGTCCGTTTATCGGCATTCATATCCTGCAAGGATATCCTATGCAAATTGCTGTGAAAGAAAAATAAAATCTAGAATTGATTTCTTGGTGTAATTTACATGACCGTGCGATACGCGATATGCAACCAGTTCGATAATTTGCAAAAAATAATGGATGGAGGTAACACCGAATCCTTATTCATAAGGTCCAAGAGATGATAAATTGGATATTCAAAATTTTTAATTGAAAAATAATAATTAAAACCTTTAATTATTTATTAATTTAATAAACAGTATATACAGCATAATTAAATTGACTTTTTTGATCAGGAACCAATAGAGTTATTTTCCGGCAATTCTTGTCACGTGGTAGATTTGGCTTAGATGCGTTCTGAAAATACACGATTTTGAATTCTCGAACTCTGAAATCTCAAAAAACTTACTACAATGGTCTCGATTTTATGATTTTCTCGAAAAAATTATTATTATTCTAGTAACTCAAACAAGTGACAATGCATAACTTAATTTTAGGGAGCCACAAGACGCTATCCTTATCCCAAGGAAGTTTGGTAGGTGAATCCTTTTGCCTTGTATTACAAACCGAAACAGCTTTCGTTAATACAATTCATATAATAGGTCACCAGGTGAGTACATAAAACTCGTAGTATTTTTATCGAATTTACCTAACGCATTCCCGTGACAGCTGGTGGTTGGTGGACTCGACCTTCAAATTGGAAGTCCAACACAGCAATTGTTGCGACCGGGATGTTTGTAATTGTAGGGGTTCTTTGGAAAATATCGGCTGAACGTGAGGTAAATGTAAAAAATATTGGTGCCATTGTTAATGATTATGCTTATTAATACATAAATCAATTTTAGTGGAGACATACCAAGCCCAACCGATGGATTCCTTCAATGATGGTAACTTTATTTCCGATCGTTGAAATTGTGATTACTCAATTATTTACTTTCCATACTTGTAAAAATTTAGTGGTCAAAACAATTCATAGATGGAGAATATAAAGATCTCAAGTTTGATAAAAACGGAAATGAGATCAAGAAACAAGAGTAGTTATTGATGTAAATATCTATCACGATTAGGTATTTCTTTATTACCATTTTTAATTAAGAATCTATTGAAAACCTCTCAATGAGTTTCCTTTGTAAATAATCATGTTAATACATTATATCTTTACTTCCTTTCCAATTCATCTATAATTTTTTTGTACAGTTTTTTGTTAGCCTTCTTTCCACCATATAATACATTATTTATCCAATGTGCAATTAAACCAAAAATATATTTTTCCATTATCCAGGATGCAATAAAATCCGAAAAAGCAATGACCAAAATCCACAATCGGAAATAAAATGCAATGTCAACAAGTTCCATGATTTTTTTAAGAAACCCGAGAGGGTATAGGAGAATTAAAAGTGTGAAGAGCGAAAGTAAAATGGTGGTGATAATAAAAGGAACTATTGTAAAAATAAAAAAAATTTTGATTGTTAATATAAAATAAAAAATTCACAATAACGGAAGCCGATTATGAAAATTGATACCAACCATTGGTGATCATTGGTTTACGATATGGAGGCCCGACGCTGAACACTACTGCAATGAGAATGTATTGAAAACAAGATAATAGAAACAATGTCGTATTTTCGAAAGATTTTATATTCCCTTTGTCTGGAATGATGACCGGCTCCTTCCACCTAACAGAAGAAATATGTAAGCTACAACCTACCAAAGTCAATGAAAGAGAGAAATAACTCACCATGGTTGTGCATGTAATAACATGTAAACAAAAAATTGAAACCCTGATTGAATTAAAATTTGACCTATCAAAGAAGTCAACACTTTTTTCGACACCAAACTTGCAGTGGGCCTCTTAGGATAAATGCGCGGGTAAGGTTCAGTACGCCCCACTATTTAAAATGAAATCTGTAAGTTTTCCTGGAAATCAATGAAGCAAACCAAAATATGTAATCTTACTTAAAACTGCAATTGGCAATATTAAAAATAAATCTATATATAAGAACTATAATAAAAAGATTGGTTAGTGATTAAACAACAATCATCCTAGAATCTACGGAATTGGTGCCTACTTGATAGTCTCCTAAACTAGATGCATATGCATATAGGATGCTAACAGTTGTAAACTGAATCATACTGTATAACGCCATATACTTAAAACAACTGAAGCTTGTGACTAAGGCTGCTCTACCCTCCCTATTTAAATAAGAGTTAAATCATTAGGAATGGGTGAGTATAGTTAAAGAAAAATTTAGTAAGATCCTTACTTAATTATTTCAATTACACATCCAATGTCTTTATTTCGACTCGTAAAAGGGGCAGCAACTGAAGCCTCAGCATCTGAAAGCGATAACCCAACATCGGAAGCTTTGAGCGCACCACAATCGTTTGCACCATCTCCACAAAATCCAACGCAATACCCTATCTCTTGTAGTTTTTCAACTAATTCATGTTTCTCATCCGGAGACATACGTGCAAAAATTTGTCCCTTGACTAACATCTGGAATTTAAATAGCATGGTTTAAGCGTATTATATGGGACAGTAAAAGAGTAGAAAGATTTTCATACCCGATACAACGTAGTCTCATCACCGTAGTCAACAATCCAACGAAAAACATCACCCGTTACAGCAAGGTCATATTCATAAGGATCTACGAGCGGGAATTCAGAAAAACTTCGCGGTGATTGAATGATCGGCTATGAAATTTTATTCAATTAGTACTTTCGATGAAAAAAAAAATTACATAATCGAAATAAATACCTTTAGAGATTTTGAATCCAATGAATCATTTTCATCCCCCAAGCATTCCCAAGCAATAGATGATCCCGAATTTCCAGATCCTTGAACGAATCGTGGAACATACACTTTAGAATTTTTGTTAATCATTCCGCACTCCCGAGAAACACTAATCGCAGTCAACACGTTGTCCCCTTGTATTAAAGATGAATGTGCAATGGTTATCATAGAAGTATAATGCGATCGGAAAAAATTTTCTGGGTTACTTACCTGTGCACATGACTTGTCGGATTTTGGCTCTTCTGAGAGTTTCGACAACAGGTGGGGTTTCTTTCTTCAATTTATTCTCAAATACAATAATCCCCAAAAATTCGAGATCCTGTTCCACCTGTTCCCTTCAATGCAAGTTAACAAGGAGAAAATTAGTTGGATGAATTCAGTTCCGATTAAATATATTTAAAATGAAAATTAATGATACCTTTTGATTTTCTGAGCCTTTATCCAATTTAGATTGTCAAAACTCTTAAAGGCACACGCAATGACTCGAAATCCATTGTGCATGTAATGGTGTAACAATTCATCATAATTTTCGGGAACTTGAGATAACAGAAGTCCAATTAAAACACAACTTTTATCTAAATTTTAGTAAATTAAAAGACTTACATGATTCTGCTCTACAAATCTCACGCATGACCTCGGGGGCACCTTTTACATAGACCTCGATTGTGGGACTTCGTAAACGTTTAACAAGTACACTCATACGACGTAAAGATGATACAAATTCAAAAGTTCTGATTATACCCAACTCTAAGAATGTGTTTAGCTAAATGGATTAGATGGATTAATAAAAATTACACGCTAACATTCTAACAAGAATAAAATGTAATCGAAAAAAATATATTATACCTTTTCTTCATTATTTTGTTCACTATTCAATACATCAGAAAGATCAAATTGTCTACTTCCAGGTGGTCTAACAACTGTCGGCACCATTCCACCAGTGCTGGTTGTGGGAGAAATGCTAACAGTCGTCTCTATTAGACTTGAAGGTCGTGAAACACTTTGTCCACTTTCCTCTAGTATCCAATTGGTAAAATCAAACATCTTCAGGTCTAACGGGTCACCGATTAATTTATTGTCAACTGATCTAAGAGAATGACAAGTAGCCATGGCATAAAGAATCGGAGAGAAATTTGACTCGGTATATGAAATATTTGAACCCAAAGACGTATTACCGATGTTCGTATTGACGGAAGACAGCGCATCAGAAGATGTATGTAGTTCAGAAAATCTAAAGAACACAATTAGTACTTGAATTTAAGAAACCTCCTTCCAAAATTAACTAACCTGTTCCCTGATCGATCAACACAACGAACACCCAAAACATCTAAACCATCCTCGGTTAGAGTACCAGTTTTATCAAAGCACATGACATTCAACTTCCCACCAACGTTTATCCTAAAGATTTTATTTTATTTTTTTAGAAATGTGTGAATTATTTACTATATTTACTAATCCATCGAGCACATAAGCCTCCTACCTTGCTGGACTAATGCAATATATTTCGGATTTCCGCAATCTTGCAATAGCAAAACCTGTTCCGATACTCATAGTCGTAGGCAGTGCCGGTGGTACCACTATAGTGAACAAGTCCAAAGCGCGGAAAATTATCAATCGGGCACTAACATTCATCCTAAGGAAATTGTAAGCACTAATCACGAAGCCGATTAAAGCTAAAGTTGATGTCAAATTAGAACTCGTAAGTAGAAGGGAAAGGAACCAGCAGATAGTTAAAACAATACCTATCAAAGCCAATACTCCAATGAACCGAAATGAATCACGGTAAAATTTAAATTCGTTTGGCTTTGG